CAATACTAGTAGCTTCAGTGGGATTCGAACTCAAGTGTAGATGCTGCTTCGCATTTCAGTGCACCGCTAACCAATATCGCTACTGAGGTTTCAACAAGTTGAATAAAGCAATCTGCCGAGCGATCTGGAAGATATATATATATATATATATAATATGTAACAAACATGGCAGCAAGATAGCTCTGAGCTCGAAGAATACAACAACATCAGAACAAAAAAGCGATCGGTAAACACGAAGAAACGATTCGCAGTGGAAAATGATGTCTAACTGAATGAGGAATGACCGATTTGTATATGAATAGAATATATTGAGCTCGACACCAGGAATTGTACAGGCCGTTGTAACTAAAGGTCGCTTCGTGTACAATTAGCTAACTCTAACACTGAGGATGAAGAATCGAATTTGAGGAACAATGTAATGTTTGATCGCTTGTGATTTTACTCTCGAATAATCAGCAATTTACTAATTATGATTTTGCTTTACATTTTGTCTTGATTTGTCTACTAATGTTCCATCGAAATGAATTATTCTCACTGGTTGTTCCAGACAATGCACAACATTTTATTTTTGGTTAATGAATAGTACTCTTTACAATTCTACCCAGTTTCCCCTCCCAATTACGCCTTTTATAACTGTTTCTCTCACGAAATTAATTTCATTTAACGTAATTAGCATACCAAAAAGGGAGGTAGGAACCACAATATGGGAGACGGCAGACCACTGGCAAATGAAATTTCTTTCTACTTGCAGTCCTTAACACAATCTGTTTATCTCCAGAAAGACTTGCTCTACTGCAAACAAGAAGTAGTACATTAGTCCCCGACCATTGTACGTCACAAGTGCTGATCAATGAAGTTCACTCACTCGAGGTCTTTGTGCCAACAAATTTTCCCTCGAGACATTTGCATACAAATGACGGCCAACCTCGATGCTGCCAACGCGATTCATCCATCCGATCTGTGACAAACCACGTAATAACCACCGATCAAAAGCTTTCAATCGACGAATTTTTTACACAAGCTTTATCAGGTTCTTAAAAGCTGCAACCTTTCAAAATTAGAACTTTGTTTGAGTTTGCCTGTTATTTACCTCTCTTGCTGTGCGATTATCGTTCTTTATAGTCACCTTGGTAGACTGAACTATTGATTAGTGCCAATTTGACCTTGACTAATGAGCACCAATGCAGCTGTAGTCTGTTTCACTTTTGTAGTATTTCTTTGTACATCAAAAATAGCGATGGGGTTTATTCATCTGTTAAAATTGCTATTTTCGCTCGCTCTGTACATTCGAACAGACGACGACTTCATCCAACTAGCCTGATATTTCTCCAGAAATGCTCCTTCAATGCAATGTTTAAATAAATCACTTGATCCACAGCCAAATTGTTCAATAAGGTCTCTCTAGCTGATTACCCCTGATTGTTCTACCTCTTTACGCAAATTCTTTTCTCTCTACCCTGTTTGACGAGCAGTGTGACCACTGGCGAATCGGACAGTCATGAGGATCTACGGTTTACTTTGGGTAAAACCGGTAACTTTGATTGTGAAAATTGATCTCTCCACTTCCTCGGAATTCCGCAGTGGATTTTTACACCCCTTGATCCTCACACAGTTTGGTGTTTCAAACGTACCATCACATACAGAAATCCGAACAATGTGTGTGTGTGTATGTGTGTGCATGATCAATCAATACTGTGCGATCCAACCAAATTTCTATTGATCTCTTCTCGTTGTGCACAGCTACCGCTGAGAAAAGTGAAAATGCACGAAATTACATCCAATCTGGATTAAACAAAGACAACTGAGTTGTGCAGTGTGCTGAATTTACGCAAAGTGAGTAGCTTGATCGAGTACACTGTATCGGTTTATACTAATGAAAACTAGGTGTACTGCCCAGTAAAAGACTGATCATTCGCTCGTTTTCACGTCGATACGGATTTAGCAATAAATTTAACTGAATTATCCGCAACTTCAGCTGAATTTGTCAATCGTGAAGCAGCTCGGATAAACAAAGTGGCTGATGCATCAGAATAACATGTCATCGTTTCCGGGTTCGATTCCCGCTGCTTCAATATTTATGCACTGAGGAAAATTGTTAACAAAACGGGCAAATAGATTTTAGCGACTTTTCGGCTGTTTAGTGATTAGTGACATGTTGAACATGTGTGATGAATATAGATTTGTGACAACATTATTTTTTTCAAACTGTTCCACGTGAATCGACGCATAAGTGATTCGACGAGTTGGGCAGAAACGTTAAAATTGTTCGCGTCGCTTACAAGTCCCGCGAAGGACAAAAATAACTTCCCCTTTCTCCAATAACAGAAGTTTTAGTAAATACCATAACAGGAAGATCCCACACTAACACTGATTTAGAAGTCTCGATTCGTTAACAGATTTCACCACTTGTTAAAGTCGTTCGAATAATTTGCCACTTGTGCAAAAGTGAAACAATGTAACACACCTGTTGGTCCATTCGGATATGACGTGTTTGTTTGATCACGTGACTACAACATTGAACGAGCTGTAACCGTTCTGGCTATTTTATCCAGAAGAAGAAAGATCGCCTACGATCAACCGAATGGATTTCACTGTGGTGATCCGGGCCTACGAGATGACGTGCACCCTGAGAGCAGCGCGTTAGTTTTTGGACAACTGCGATCAATCAAACTTCACGGGTGACATCAACAACTGCTTCTGACTACATACCTTAGGTAGATCGTACCAGCTAATCAGAGACCGTGCGGCCCAGACAGAAGTAGAACGATGCCAGGAATATTGGAACGCGATTGGTACGAGCCCGGATAACCAATAAACTTATTTTTTACATATTATTTAATCCCCATTATTTCTTCCAGTGAACGAACTGCTACTCCTGTGCCCTTTTCCTTGCGTCTCAGTCAGGTGGATATTGCCTGCTAGTGCCAGTGCGCTCCAGTGCTTACGTGATCCAGTCCGTGATTGCTAAACCTTGATTCGTATTCCGTGATCCGTATTGCGTGGTTCATGCTTCGAATTCAGTGTGCATTAATGCCACTACCATTATTACAATCATTACACAAAAAGAAAATGTTGAGGGGAATCGAATTCGTGTTGGACACTAAGTATGTAGTAATATCATAGGATCTTTTCTTTTGCAAAAGAGTTTTATGCAGGCAGCCAATGCCGATGCGTTTTGAGCATGGTAATCGTACCAGTATAGTCCAACGGCTGGTTTACATGGTTTACGTATGAATTTCCTCGAAAAACAAGTCAAAGATGTTGGCCTCGCATGTGGG